CTGGGAGACTTGAAGTCCACAGGACTTCAAGTCTCCCAGGTTGAGAAACACTGATCTAGACGCTCTTGTTTATTCCTCTCCTAACATTTCCACACAAAGTTGCATCGCTTTAGAAGTTACTTGGGTGCATGCATTCCCCAATCAAGGGAAAAAAAACCGAGGGAAATGGAAGCGTGGGTATGGTGTTGGCATAATAAGCGAAATAATTGGAAGTCAACTTGAAATTTTGATAAGGCTTGAGAAGAGCCTAAGTGGCGCAGTGGTTAAAGTGCAGTATTACAGGCAAACTGCCCACAGCCTGGAGTTTGATCCTGATGGGGCTCAAGGCTGACTCATTCTTCCATTCTTCCAAGGTTGGTAAAATGAGGACTCACATTGGGAGCAATATGCAGATAATGCTTCTACCTTGCAAACCACCCAGGGAATGCTGTAAAGTAGTATTGTGGGCAGGTATATAAGCCTAAATGCTATTGCTTCTCAAGTGCCAGGGAAATTAAGAGATTCAGGCAGTTCAACCAGTTTCGTTGCCTTTAAGTACAATGACAATAAGGATTATACTTATACTTCAAATGACTACCCTGTTTCCCTGAAAATAAGACCTCCCCAGATAATAAGCCCAATCGGGCTTTTGAGCGCATGTGCTAAATTAAGCCCTCCCCTGAAAATAAGCCCTTCCTGAAAATATTGCAATGCAGCAGCAGCCATGAGGTGACCACACTCACCGCCTCCTGCACCTCAAAAATAATAAGGCCAAGCGCTTATTTCGGGGGTCAAAAGAAAATAAGGCCCTGTCTTATTTTCGGGGAAACAATGTATAAAGATTTATTGCAAGCTTAAGCTCTCTATAAGAATCTGATCTACTACTGGTTAAGGGAAATAAGCAAGAATAAGAAAGCATTGAAGGTGGGTTGGACTTAGATGTCTTTTGGGTATGCCAGGACTCATGACTTGTGATGCATTTGACCCATCCTTTGGGCTCAGCCTACAACACTATTGCTAAAGGCTAAAGGATAATACAACGGTGGACAAGAAGGGTGATATTTCAAATTGTTTTCCAGTGACTTCTTCCAAAACCAGGAGATAATATAAAGAACGATTTATCTCCATGGTTTTATGGAAGACTTATTATGAAAACAGTCAACTAACTAAACAAAGTGCAAAATAATATTTCTGATATATATTGCAAGAAATTCTGAATCCAGAACTATAAGGAGCAATCTTGCAATTAAAATATGGGCAAGTATTCCAACATTGGAAACTAGATGAGATTTTAAAATCTAATCTAAATAGTCTTGCTGGAAAACTCACTGTGCAAAAGAAAAGAAAACAAAAGAAATAAAAACACCAAAAACTCCCAAAACCTCTTGGTTGACTGTTTAGGGAAATAGCAATTATATCAAATAACTGGTGAAACATATTACTTTATCTTCATATTAACTATAATCTGAGACCCACATCTCTTGTGGGAGGGGAATTATATAGTCCAGATGGATGATCCAAAGAAAAAGATCCCCAGTGCAGAATAATCAATTCTTCTTATGATCATTAAAGATCTTGTTACAGTATTTACATGTTATTAATATTGTAGATGTAGTAATGGGTGCAAACTGCAAACTACCATATGATCTGAACATTTATCAGCGTGGGCAGTGGGCATAGAATAACTCAGGAGCTAATTAATACCTTAAAACTAATATTTGCTTTATGGTTTATTTGATAGCTTAAAAAAGTTTTATTGACATTTTTCCTCCAACAGCTTGTCATTCAAAACTCCACTTCCAAATAAAGATGCTTTTCTCTATTTTTGTTGACTCATCTATATTATTATTGTTCTGCAGTGCAGTTGATGGCTGTGATCTCCAATAACAACTTAAATTCTCTAAAGTGGCCCATCTTTATGGGACTCACTGATAAAACCAAGACCTTGAAATGTCTGAAGTCAACTACTGGTGACCCTCAGCTACAGATAGAGGTGAGTTTCATATTTTAATTCCTGAAGAATTGCATACTTATTCTCTATTAGTATAATTAACATTAGCTATATAATGCATTAAAAACTACCACAGCAGGGATGCTGCCAAAGCATATATTAGGGGATTAGCTATAACCTATATAGTGAGAAAAAAACAGAAAAAAAGGACAACAGCAAAAGCAGTGATGTGCAGTGAGGATTACAGTTGGTGAGGCAAGAGTGCGGTGGCGGCGAGAAGCAACGTTCCCGCCGCTGTCCCCAACAGGCATCTCAAGTTTATGTCCGCCATAGATGCGAGATGCCTGTCAGACACAATGGCGGGGACGGAGGAGGCGGGGGGGCCAGGTGGCAGAGTGCGGCAGCAGCGAGAAACAGTGTCCCTGCCGCTGTGTCCGACAGTCGTCTCACGTCTATGGCGGACATAAACGTGAGATGCCTGTCGGGGACAGCAGCGGGGATGGAGGAGGCGGGGGGTGAGGCGGCGGAGCGCAGTAGTGGCGAGAAGTAACGCCCCTGCCGCTGTGTCCGACAGGCGTCTCGCGTCTATGGCGGACATAAATGCGAGATGCCTGTCGGGGACAGTGGCCGGGATGGAGGAGGCAGGGGGGCAAGGCGCAAGAGCCTGGCAGTGGTGAGCAGCAATGTCCCCGCCACTGTGTCCGACAGGCGTCTCGTGTCTATGGCGGACATAAACACGAGATGCCTGTTGGGGACAGTGGCGGGGACGGAGGAGGCGGGGGGCGAGGCGGCAGCCGGAGAAGAAAGGGGAGAGGAGGAGGAGAAAAGGGAGAGGGGAGCAGGACAGGGCTCCCGGTGGGGGGGAGAGGAGAAAGGGAAGACGGGCACAGCAGGCAAAAGAAAGAAAGCGCCAGCCCACCAGCAGAGGCGGGTAAAAGACCCGCTTCTGCTAGCGGGCTGCCCCTCTCTTCTCAAACAAGGCTGCCCTCCCTGCCTCTCCCCCTTCCCTATCTTCTCAAACAAACACTCTCTCAAATAGAGAGAGAGAGAGTTTGTTTGAGTGAAGTGAAGAAATAAACAAACACACACACACAAATTACTCACAATAAAAAATTACTTACAAATTAAATTACAATATTTTTGAATTCATCTCTCCTCCCTCCGTCCGACCCACATACCTTTTCCAGCTTTGTCATAGAGGATTTCAACTCTCCTCTTGTCCACCATGATGAAAATGTAAAAAATGTAAAAAGAAAAAGGCAAGAGCTGCTGCTCCCAGAGCAGGCAGAGGCGAGAGAAGCCCGTGCCTCCTTTGCATAAGGAATTTTTCACCTTTTAACCCTTGCTTAACTCTGCTCAAGTGATCATAAAGATAGTTTAAAGGAGGCATGTGGTTCTCCCTCCTCCCCCTGCAGTTAAGCACTAAACAGTCATCCACTGTGACTCCGGCAGCAACTACCTCTGCCTTTTTCCTTTTAATTTTTTTTCTTTTCGTCATGACAGTGGTGAGGCCCTGCCTTCCCTGCCTCCTGACTGTAGGTCCCTGAGCAAAAGATACTAAAAGAAGAACATAGAAAACTTGAATTAGACCTACAAAAAGACCCGCAAAAGGAAAAATAAAAAAAAACCAAATGGAAATAATAAAACATAAGCTGAATCTAATGGAAAAAGAAGAATTGGCACAACAAATTAAAAGAGCAAAACAAAACTTTTTTGAAAATGCCAATAAACCAGGAAGATGACTTAGCATATAAGCTGAAAAAGGAGAAAGAGAAGAAACTGATAAGTAAATTACAAGATGAGGGGGAGTCCTATAACACCAAAATTAAATTAAAAAGAAAATAATTCAGAAGTTTTATAGGAAATTATAGGACTAAGAAAAAATTCAATGAAGAAGATAAAGCAATACCTAGAAAAAGCTAAATAACCAAAAATGTCTGAAAATATGAAAGAATAACGATGATAGAATTAACAGAGTTGATAAATAGACAACAGAACAATAAAACACCAGGACCAGATAGCTTACGTGCAGACGTTTATAAATATTTACAGGACTCATTAAATTGAAGAACAATGAAGTTCTGTTAGAAGCTAAGATACCAAATTTGTGGATAGAAGTAGACATAACATTAATTCCGAAAGAAGATTCAGATTGAACACAGGTAAAGAATTAAAGGCTTATATCAGTACTAAACGCAGACTGCACAATATTTGCATCAATAATAGCAGAAAGATTAAAAATATTATTGAATGAATTTATTCACTCAGATCAAAATGGATTCCTACCCAAAAGAAAAATTAAGAATAATGTAAGATTTATTTTAGATATATTGGAGTACACTCTGAAAAAGAAATGGCATTGATTATCTTAGATGTACAGAAAGCATTTGATAATGTAAATTGGCAATTTATATTCCAACAATTAGAGTGTATGGACTGTGGCGAGAAGTTTATAAACATGATTAAGACAATATACTCCAGACAAATGGCAACAGTGATAGTGCATGGGGATTCGATGGCAAATTTTAATATTAAAAAAAGGCACAAGACAAGAATGTCTGTTGTCCCAATTGCTATTCATATTAACCCTGGAAGTGTTAAATAGAGGCATTATACAAGATCTAGAAATAAAAGGTCTGAAAATAAAAAGAGAAAAATACAAACTACAAGCATTTGCAGATATTTGCATTTGGTATTTGTGCTAGAAAAACCATTGGAAACTGGCCCCTAAGCTAATGGGAAAAATAAGGGAATATGTCAGGATTGAGAATAAATAAAGACAAAACAAAAATACTAGTCAAAAATGTTACAGATAAACAGAAAAACTTGACAAAGAAAGCCAGACTTTCAGGTAGTCAAGAAAGTAAAGTACTTCGGAATCTACTTAATAGCTAGATGTGTAACAATTAAAGAAGATAATTATACATGGTTAATACAACAAATAAAAGTGGACTTGGAGAACTGGAAAAATCGGCAGTTGTCAATGGTAGGAAGAATAGCAACCATAAAAATTAATGTACTGCAGAAGCTATTTTTCTTGTTTCAAACAATTCTTATAAAAGTAGAGAAATAATATTTTGATGAACTGAACGCAATAATCTTGAAATATGTTTGGCAAGGAGAAAGAGTGAGGTTAAAACTGTTGCAAGAATCCAAAAACAGTGGAGTCTTTGGTTTGCCGGATTGGGCCTTGGCATTAACTTGGGTGAAAGAATGGATAAATCTTAGAAATAGAAGATTGTTATTGCTGGGAGGACATGATTTCCAGCTGGGATGACATGCCTTTCTGTAGTATGACAAAAAAAAAAATACATAGATACTTTCAAAGACATTATGCAAGGAACACTCTACTTCTAGTATGGGAAAAAGTTAAAGCAAAAAATTACATGCAAATACCAGTCTGGCTTTCAACAATGGAAGCACTGAAACATCCAAATGTGGCAAACCTGGGAAAATTGTAATGTATAAAGATTTTATTTTTATTTTTTTGAGAATTTTTTTTATTGTTTTAGTTAAACAGAAAAAAAATAAGAAAAAAATATATTTTGTTACATCTTGTTGAAAGCGTATCGATTGGTTATGAATATATTCCATGCATTTCTTCCACAGTCCTTACATATACTTCATTCAAATCATGTTGTACATTTTAA